TCTATGGTCAACTAATCTTCGACAAAGCAGGAAAGAATGTCCAATGGAAAAAAGACAGTCTCTTCAACAAATGATGTTGGGAAAATTGGACAGCCACATGCAGAAGAATGAAACTGGACCATTTCCTTACACCACACACAAAAAATAAACTCAAAATGGTTGAAAGACCTCAATGTGAGATAGGAGTCCATCAAAATCCTAAAGGAGAACACAGGCAGCAACCTCTTCAACCTCAGCCGCAGCAACTTCTTCCTAGAAACATCGCCAAAGGCAAGGGAAGCAAGAGCAAAAATGAACTACTGGGACTTCATCAAGATAAAATGCTTTGGCACAGCAAAGGAAACAGTCAACAAAACCAAAAGACAACCGACAGAATGGGAGAAGATATCTGCAAATGACATATCAGATAAAGGGCTATTATCCAAAATCTTATAAAGAACTTATCAAACTCAGCACCCAAAGAATAATCCAATCAAGAAATGGGCAGAAGACATGAACAGACATTTTTCCAAAGAAGACATCCAAAAGGCCAACAGACACATGAAAATGTGCTAAACACTGCTCGACATCAGGGACTCCAAATTAAAACCTCAATGAGATACCACCTCACACCAGTCAGAATGGCTAAAATTAACAAGTCAGGAAACGACAGATGTTGGCGGGGATGCGGATAAAGGGGAACCCTCCTACACTGTTGGTGGGAATGCAAGCTGGTGCAGCCACTCTGGAAAACAGTATGGAGGTTCCTCAAACAGTTGAAAATAGAGCTACCATACAACTCAGCAATTGCACTACTGGGTATTTACCCCAAAGATACAAATGTATGGATCCGAAGGGGTACATGCACCCCGATGTTTATAGCAGCAATGTCCACAATAGCCAAACTGTGGAAAGAGCCAAGATGTCCATCAACAGATGAATGGATAAAGATGATGTGGTATATATATACAATGGAATATTATGCAGCCATCAAAAGGAATGTGATCTTGCCATTTGCAACGACATGGATGGAACTGGAGGATATTATGCTGAGTGAAATAAGTCAATCAGAGAAAGACATGTATCATATGACCTCACTGATACGAGGAATTCTTAATCTCAGGAAACAAACTGAGGGTTGCTGGAGTGGTGGGGGGTGGGAGGGATGGGTGGCTGGGTGATAGACATTGGGGAGGGTATATGCTATGGTGAGCGCTGTGAATTGTGTAAGACTGTTGAATCACAGACCTCTCCCTCTGAAACAAATAATACATTATATGTTAAAAAAAAAAAAAAGAAGATAGCAGGAAGGGGAAAATGAAGGGGGGGGAATTAGAGGGGAGACAAACCATGAGAGACTATGGACTCTGAGAAACAAACTGAGGTTTCTAGAGGGGAGGGGGGTGGGGGGATGGGTTAACCTGGTGATGGGTATTAAAGAGGGCACGTACTGAATGGAGCACTGGGTGTTATATGCAAACAATGAATCACGGAACACTACATCATAAACTAATGATGCATGGTGATTAACATCACCTAATAAAAAAAATGTGATATTAATGGATTACAATCTACTAAATAAAGGATCCATAATAAATACATAGATAAGCAAGAAGGAAATGTTTTTCCTTATAATAGAATGCTAATAAATGTAGAAGGAATGATGGAATTAAAAAAATTACCATTTTACATTTTAGTAATAATTTCTCTTAACAACAATAGATGTTAAGACTAATGGGTGAAAGTCTGATGAGAAACAAGAGATTTACATAATCTCAATGTATCTCCCTACAAATTAGTTAAAAATCACAAAGGTAAAAGTAGTAACTTGTTAGTGGAAAAACTTGGTGAACAACACTTTAGCTAAGTAAAGTTAGTATCACCAATAATGGGATAAATCAACATTACGAGCCTCCTAACATGATGCACTGAGAACACATATCACTTCTGCGAGACTCCCACCAAAATAACCAAGAGGAAACACCAGACAAACCTAAATCGGAAACAGTCAACAAAAAAGAAGGCCTGCACTCTTCAAAAATATCAATGCCAGGGGCGCCTGGGTGGCTCAGTTGTTAAGCGTCTGCCTTCGGCTCAGGTCATGATCCCAGGGTCCTGGGATCGAGCCCTGCATCGGCCTCCCTGCTCAGCGGGGAGCCTGCTTCTCCCTCTCTCACTCCCCCTGCTTGTGTTCCCTCTCTCGCTGTGTCTCTCTCTGTCAAATAAACAAATCTTTAAAAGAAAAAGTCAATGCCATCAAAGCTAAAGAAAGGCTGAGGAGCTTTTCTAACAAAGACTAAAGAGACATGAAAACTAAATGCAAGGCATGATCCTGGTCTACCCTAAACCAAACTGTTAGAAAAATTGCTATAAATGATATTAATGCGACAACTGGCAACATATGAATGTCTGCAATTAGATAACAGTACTGTATCACTGTTAAAATTCCTGACTTTGTCAATTTTACTGCGGAAATGAAAGTGAACCTCCTTGTTCTCAGAAAATACACACTGACTTACTTAAGAATAAGGGGCATGTCTGCAACACATTCTCAAATGGTTCAGAAAAATAATAGGGGCACCTGGGTGGCTCAGTCAGTTGAGTGGCCAACTCTTGGTTTCAGCTCAGGTCAGGATCTCGGCTCCATGAATCCAGCTCCACAGGATTCTGCTTCTGGATTCTCCCTCTTCCTCCCTCTGGCCCTCCCCCAGAGTGCATGTGCTGGGGCGCGCTCTCTTTCTCTCGCTCTCTCTCTCTCATGCATGCACACGCGCTTTCCCTCAAATAAATAAATCATAAAAAAAAAAAAAATAAAGGAGAAAGAAAAATAAGTATATATGAAAAGAAATAAAGCACATGTGCCAAACTATTAACAACTAGTAAAACTGAAAGGGTTTTGAGAATTATGTACACTATTCTTACAGCTTTCCTGTAAGTTTGAAATTATTTCAAAATTTAAAAAGTTAAATATGTATGTGTATTTATGGATCTATTTTAGAAGTGTTCCCGCCACTTCCTTATATTCTTGAAATTCAACTCTGAAACATTCTTATGACTTTAGGGCAACTACTCTACTTAGCTTGACTTCATATTTTCAAAGTAAGTCAAGGTCAAACTTTTTGGCAAACCACAATAAAGATTTGGAAATACCGTGTATGTCTATTGGCAAATTGTGTTAAACTTAAGCTAATCATTCCATTTTTTCTGTTAGATCTATAAAACATCTGAGTCCTAAATTGCCCCCACTAAAATTATTTCACTTATTTTTTTTTAAAGATTGTATTTATTTAAAGAGAGAGAGAACACAAGCGGGGTGGGGGGCAGAAGGAGAAGCCAACTCCCCACTGAGCAGGGAGCCAGACATGGGGCTCGATCCCAGGACCCTGATATCATGACCTGAGCTGAAGGCAAACACTTAATCAACTGAGCCACCCAGGCGCAAGATTATTTCACTTATGCCAGACTCCTAACCTGCCCACAAAACTACCTTCTAATTACTGCATAGCTATTTTTCTGCCAGTCTGACTCTGATACGTGGGATTTTCCCAAATCAATGACTTTAACTTGTTTATATCTGTATCTTCTGAGGAAAAAAAATCTCCTGGGATAAAGAATGAGCAATGGGGGCGCCTGGGTGGCTCAGTCGTTAAGCGTCTGCCTTCGGCTCAGGTCATGATCCCAGGGTCCTGGGATCGAGCCCCACATCGGGCTCCCTGCTCGGCGGGAAGCCTGCTTCTCCCTCTCCCACTCCCCCTGCTTGTGTTCCCTCTCTCGCTGTGTCTCTCTCTCTGTCAAATAAATAAATAAAATCTTTAAAAAATAAAAAATAAAAAATAAATTAAAAAAAAAAAAGAATGAACAATGCCCTGAAGGATGGGGATTTGAACTTTTCTCACAGGAGACAGGGACACACAGGACTTTTTTTTTTTTTTAATGAAACAAGGAATACACAGAAAAAGAACCTACAGACATCTAGGAAGATTGCCAGCTATGTCTCAGTTAGAAAAATCTCTGTGGTGTGATGGGAAAATATGCATGCATAAAACAACCTGTAGAAAAAGTACAAAACATCAGCAAGGTTTCTGACCCAGTTTAACAATCTTGTTTTTCAGTTAACCTAATTGTAAACTGGAAAACTTATAGAATCCACAATATAAATTGTTACTTGACTTGTAATGGGTCAACCTCCAAATACTATTGTCCCATAGCATAAAGACAAAAATATACTTTCTATCAGTATTTCTCACAAGAGAAAAATGTGGTAAACTCATGATTTGTCACTAAGGAAAGTATCAAAAACTTACCACTATCAACAGTTCCCTGGCTCTTTAACCAACAATCTACTACTGGTTTAAAAGCAGGTCAGCCTGTAGTATGAAAAGATGCCTGCTTTTCAAAACTGACTAAAGCTGTCAACTTGGATGGTTGACTTTACACTACAATCATCTATCCTCAGCACTGCCCCAATAGCCAGGGAGCACAGCAAGTTTCCACAAAATCACCCTTCCAGCCCCCCAGTCCCCCAGACTGTGAGCGGATGCCAGCAGCCACGACGCGCCCAGAGAAAAGGTTTTAATTTCTCCAGAAACGTTGGCTTCCAGGTGAATTCAGGTTTTAAACTCTTTCCAAAAGGGCCTCCCAGCAGCGACATTTTCCTCCCTCCGCTGGTGATTCCCGGGGACGTGGCAGCCTGCTCCCCGCCAACGTGGAGAACCCGGCGGCCTGGGAGAGCGCGGAGTAAACCCGGAGGTGGGGGGCGGCGGGGGGGGAAGCAGAAGCGCAGCTTCATACTTGAGGTCACCCTGACCTCTGACTTCGCCCCCGCCCCCCAACGCTGGCGACCCGGAAGGAGTCCAGAGCAGGCCCCAAAACTCTGAGCCCGAGCTACAGATCGGGCTGGGCCCGTCTGCGTTAAGGCCGGTCAGGTCTGTGGGAGACGATGACCTTCGCCAAGACTCTCACAGGGACAGCACACTGAGGCCGGACCGTCACCGGTCCCGGCCCACCCCTCCGGGACTCACCGCCCGCCTGAGCCGCCCTGGAGCCGCAGCTCGGAACATGGTCTCTGCTCCCGTCCGCTCGAAACACCGTCACCCTTCCAGCGCCGGGAGCCGAAACCCGCCTCTGGGAGTCACTATAACGCTCGCGAGACGCGCGAACGAGAGCGGAAACACTTCAGGCGAAGAGCGGGAGCTCACGGATTCTGTCTGCCCATTGGGCAGTCGCGCAACCAATGGGGACGGCGGAAAGTTAGGGCCCAGACTTGGAAGTAGGGAGAAGGTGAGGCTTTGCTCTGGGAGGTCGCGGATGCCGAAGGCCTGGCAGAGCTGGTGACTTAGAGGTGACGGTGGCCCAGAAGGCCTCTCAGCCCCACGGTGGGCACCGTTGTTACAGTGAACTTTCCCCCTGAGCTGCTGACGTCACTCTCCTGGCTTCCCAGCCCTCTCCAATTATTCTTTTGCTCGCTCATTTACTCGTATCAATGCTACACACCTGTAACGTGCTGAACATATTTTCCATGTCAGGGGAATATAATAAAAGGATGCATGAGATGTTGACCTCACCAGACTCTGGAGGAAACATACAAATAAACATATCATTCCTTTATGGAAAGAGGGATTCACCAAACTGTTGATATTTGAGCTAGGTTCTAGAAAAAAGAACCCTGTGGGCAAAAACCCATAAGGGGAAGGTCCAAGGACAGGGACAGGACCATGTGCTGCCTGCAGAAAGAGGCAAATGGCTGGAACAATAGACTGGGCAAGGCTTTGGATGTGGATGACTTGGGGCCCACCCTGGCCCTCTCCTCTCCCCACTCTGCCTGTCATTGGGCACCCCACCCACATCCTGGCTTTAGTGCCTTTGGCTGCCAAATCTCTCCTGACCTTTGGATCCACATATATACCAGCCTACTTGGGCATCTCCTCAGGAAGTCCCGGAACATCTCAAACCCACACAATTGACAACATCCCCTTCCAGATTTAATTCTCCTATATTCCCTTTTTCAGGGAATGCTTTCCACCTCCACGCAGCTGCTCAAACCAGAAACCTAGGGACCATCCTTGACTCCTTTCTCTCCTTCATTCCCTTATCCTACCAGTCACTAAATTCTAGCGACTCCACTCCTAAACAGCTCCCAAATCCATCTAGGACTCTCTTCTACCCGACTCCGTGTTTGGATTGCTCTAGTTTCCTTCTTACTGTTCTCCCAGCTTCTAGTCTTCACCCTCCAATCCATCTCCCACTGCAACCAAAGAGCTCTTTCAAAAGGGTAGATTGGTGATGTTACTCCCCTGTTGAACACACTTTAGTGACCCCCTATGGGCTTTTAAGATGAAATGCAAACCCCTTAACATGACATATAAGCCCTATTAGCTCACATAGGGCTTATATGTCAAGGATACACATTTTTGTTCATTTGTTTATTGCTGATTTGTTTGCATGGGAATGTAGGTTCTCTGGAGCAAGAACTTTGAGTCAACAAACATTTTAAGGGCCCCGTGCTCAGATTTTGCTCTTTCCACTTTCCTCTTCCCCACCTCTACTCCACCTTTAACACTCCACTCAGGGGACATTTCTTCTGTAGCGTCTTCCCTGATCTTCCAGGATAAACGAATCCTTCCCTCTTTTTCATCCTCCTGGTTCTGTGAACAATGAGGGGAGGACTCAGCTTGAACATAAGCTGCAACCACCTAGATGATGTCTGTGCCCATGAGGAGACTGGAGCTGTTGGATGCCCTCCAGTGAATCGTCTGTGGAAGGGACAATTTAGTGTTCCACTTATCACTGCATTTGCCTCCCAGTCCGGTCCCCCACTCGATTCTTATCTGAGTCCTGTGGAAGTGGAAGGAAGAGGGTGGAGTACTTTAAGTAAAAACTGAAAGGGATATTTAACTAAAAAACCATGTCAAAAATGGGTACACAAACTAACCTCCTTCCATGCCTCCCCACCCATGACAAAGCATAACACAAAAGTGGGGAGAACATGCCCCAGCCTCACCCCCATGGGACAGCTCTGGCACCTCCCAGGCTGCAGTGAATCAACGGCATCTGTGCCCGCAGAGGTGCAATACCCACAGAGTAGAGCGGTTCCTAGCAGAGCAGAGCCAGAGGAGAGGAAAAGGCAGAAAACTGCCGAAGTCTGTGATAACGGACCAGACCTACTCCTGAACACACGTGAGACGCCCCCTAGGGACTTTGTGGGGGAGTTTTATGTTTACCTGGAGGTCAAGTTCCACCAAAACGTGAACGCTAAAACATTTATATTAGAGGATTTTCTACATACATATTTGGATGTCTGTCGCTCCCACTCAGTTATGAGATACTTTGGTAGCAAGACCCATGGTTTTTACTACCTGGTTCATGTTTGTGGATGTTCAGTGAGTGGAAAAGGAAGAGGTGGGTGGGGAAAGGGAGGGTGGATTTGCCACAGCCAACCCTAGAAGGCCTACTCCAGTCTATTTTGGAAAACACCTCACCATCTTCTTTCCTCTTCACAGGCCAGTTTCAGGAGAGCTCCCCCAGGATTCCTGGTGGAAACGTAGAAGAGGAGGGTGAGTGGGACAAACTACAGCCCCAACTACTGCACCTGTCCATGGGCCACAACTGATACTCATTGTCTCCCTACTTGTTTTCAATCCTAAATTCCCCTCCCCCTCAGCTAGCATCTCCTCTGGTCTTAGTGGCTTACCTGACCACCACAATTTCTCAGGGGCTCAGGGTTGCTGCACTTGTCCATTTATTGTCAAAATTGAGCAAGAGAGTACTGAGAAGCACCCAAGTAGATCACTCCAGGCCAAGATGATGACTTTCCTTCTTGCCTGCTGGTCCCTGCAAACAAGGTGTCCAAAGTGCTCAGGTAGCTACTGTAGCTTAGTTCAATAGGACTCTTGCCTTGTCCTCTTGTGGAAGATTCCCCCTTTGGGGACAAATGCCTCTAACCCTGCAGAGCCCAGAGTTGTGAGATTTGGAAGCCCAAATTCTACAAGTGCCCACTGAGAGTAATGGTAGTAGGTCTCTCCTGCTTCTACCCTGTGGTTCCTGGGTCCATGTATTCTTCTGACTGGGGACACAGCACCATATAAAGGTCTTTGATTCAAGATGTACGTAGCATCCCGGAAGATGAAGTCTATCCTCATAAAGTATTGCCTCCAAGCTGGCACTCCGAGTGGGCCTTCAGGAGGCCATTCTGATGCCCTTTCAGGCCAGCAGCTTCTGGGTGGTCCAGTCTATGACTAGATGAGTGAATCCTGTGATCAGGGACTCATTCCTGAACCTCCACTTCAGTGAGTTGGGTCCCTGATCTGACATGATATTATGTAAGATCTTGTGCTGGTGAATGAAATATTCAAAAAGCCCTCAGGTAGCGGTACTGGATAGGATCCTGTGGGCAAGAAAGGTAAACAGTACCCAGAATATATGTTAATTCCTGCCAGGATGAATCATGGCTTCTCCAGGATGGAAGGAGTTCAATGTAGTCAACTTGTTACTACATGGCCAACTGGTCTCCTGGAGGACTGCTATCATACTGGGGATATATTCAGCAGCTACAGTAGCTAGCAGTAGTCCTTGTAAGTGGGATCCTATGCTATTAGGCTCATACTAGCCTCTATATCTGCCACTGTGGCCACTTTATTCATGTGTCCTTAGTGCCAGCACTGGGTGGCTGATGACAGAGACTGGCTAAGGTCACCTAGCCAAGTGAATTTTGCCTTTCTTAGTTATTTAATGCCTCTTCTACGGTGGATGCCTTCTGGTGGGTGTTAACATGTGATACAAAGATCTTCATACTCTAGGGGCACCTGGCTGGCTCAGGCGGTAGAGCATGTGACTCTTGATCTTGTGGGTCGTGAGTTTGAGCCCCATGTTGCGTGTGGAGACTACTTAAACAAAGATCTCCATACCTTGTAGCAACTCCCATATATCTATCCATCCTTGTGCCTCTATCCCAAGCTCCTTATCCCTAATCTTCCCAAATTTCTTCTTCCAGGCCCCTACCAGCCATACAGTCCTTTCACCATTGCCCCTGAGTTCATATATATTCTAACTTTGGGGCACTTCTCTGTCCACAAAGTGGATGCCCAAGTGCACCTCCTGAAGTTCTGCCCACTGAGATCTTCTTTCACCCCTGTTTCTCAAGGTCACCCCTAAGTGAGGCTATATCGTAACTGCCATCCATTCTCAGTCACATACTGAGGCAACTCTCCACAAGCCAAATAAATACAGGATTTTTCCTTCTCCTGCAGCTGATTGTAAGGAAGCCTACATATAGCCATCAGTGCGAGCTGAGGAGGTGCTGGTCTAATGGTGGTGTGATGACCTGACGTCTGGGCTGCCTGCTCAAGCAAAACTTGCTTGAACCATCTGAGCCTACTTGTGTTCAATCCCAGATGCACCAGTTCCGTCAGAGGATGGATTGTTGCTGGCTGCCTGATATTATGTCTTGGTGGGTTTGATAGAGCCTGCCTCATGATGGGTAGTTCTGACATGCGGTCACTTGGTATCCTATGATCAGGCCCTGCACGTCAGCAGTTTTTTTCAAAAGGCACATAAATCTCTCCTAGAGATGGCATGGCTGAGCTCCAACGCCCCAAGGTTGTGACTCCCAGTGGAACTCGCCATAAACTGCACAGAGCATCTTTTTCTACCACTGAAAACACTGATACCATCTATACCATCTATAGAAGCATAAAGGGACTGCTTGCACTGCAGCCTGAAACTGCTCTATAACCTTTTTCTGCCCTGAGCCCCAAGGAAAGCTGGGGACCTTTTGTGTCACCTGGTATGTGGGCCAGAACAATATTCTTGGTGTGAAATATACTGTGTCCAGAACCCAGAGAGAACTACCAGGCATTATACTTCCTTCTTCATGGTAGGAAATGCAGTAATTTCTCTTTTTCTTTGGATGGGATATGTGGCATGCCCTTGACACTGGACCCCTAAACATCTTTCTGATATGACAGGCCCCTGAACTTTATACAATTTATGTCCCACCCTCTGGAGTATATGTGTTACACCCAGGTCTCTAATGTGCTAGCCAAATTTTGCCCATCTGGCTGAATTAGTATGATGTCATCAATGTAATAGCTTCAGTGTGATGTTCTGCAGGATTGTGACAGGTGGAAAGTTAACATAACTTTGGAGGAAGACCGCAAATGTACGTATACTGTTGTATGTTCCATGTG